TTCTAAACTATGGTCTTTCATGTATCTCCAGTCAGAGACAACTGCTCTGTTCCTCAATTTTAGGTGAACACAAAAGAATATTCACGTTAGGTGATAACATATATAGATCACAGTGAAACAAGGGTTTCGTCTTATAGGAACCTTTTGCTAAACAGATTTAAGATTATAATGGTGTCATGGAATACAATACTTCTAAAAATAACTAGGAGAAATATGGAAACTGTAAAACACATAAGCAAAACTGGAACTTCAGAGAGCATTTACCCAGTTTTCCATGTGGTTTCACTAGTTTTTTAAGATCTTGAAAATATTTCTGTTTTAGGTGTCAGTTTTCAAGTATCTCATGACAATAATGGTATATGTTTAATAAGGGACAGGCATCATCCCATACTTCCACTGCTGTGGAATTCCTATGCTATGATTCTGTCTATGAAGGTTTGTAAGTCTTCAGTTTTATTAAAGTTTATGTAACATGAATAGTGGAATTCAAAGTAACAGCCAGGACCATTACGTTTTATGGAAAGGGCAAAGCTATAAAATCACCTTAATATATTAAAAAAAAAAAAGTGCCGCATGCTTGAGAATTTGGAGAGGAACCACATAATTAAAAAGGAACTGAGGGAGATTTAAGTTGAATATTTGCTTAATTATTATGGCTCTTTGCAGTTTTCCAAAGGGAAAACTTTTGCCATTCAGAACTAAGTCTGATCTTAAATATTTCAAAAAGTGGCCTGGACAGTAGACATAAAAATCTACATATGCATCACTTCATTATAGCTTTAACTGTCAACATCATATCCCTTGTCTTCTGAGTATTAGGAGATATAGATCTCACTGGCAAATATCATCTACACTAAGAACCTCAAAAGATAAATTTCCAATGAGTTTTCTGGCGTGTTATGTGATAGTAAAATTAGCTCCAACACGGAATTCTTAATAATGAAACAATACCCACTTCATTAAATTCCCTGCCTCTACAAAAGAAAAGACTTCTGATGATGATGACTGCAGAAAAAAAATTACAGAAATCTGTCTGATAAAGGGCTTCAAGTGATGGCTGCATCAACAATTTGTATGGTAGAAATATAAAGAAATTCTGGACAATATAATGTTGGCACAAATTCAACACTTGGCTAAAAATGCCAAGGCATTCAAAATACAGAGCGGGACGTCTGCACAATGGAATATACTGTAGTTTACCAAGACGGCTCTAAATGCCTGTCTTGGAAAACAAAAATTGTATGTCTACCACAATACAGCCCTCCTGGGCTCATTGCAGGCCTTGTGCTAAAACGGATTAGTCTTCCCTGGATTTGCTAAGCGTGTGCACTGCAGCGTACACAAAGTACCCTGTTTTGGGTAAGTATCTTAAATATGATACACAGATAGATATCTGGCTACACTGCACTCCGGTTCCTCACGTGAATGAGCTCCGCAAGTGCTGACACGTTTACACAACGTAGTGCAAATAGGCCAGCTTGAGTCCTAGGAAAACCTAGCTCTGCTGCACCACGATGTGGAAGAATTAGCTTGGTATGAGTTTGCTCTGGAAGAGAAGGCAACAGAGATACGTTAATGATGATCTCAATCAGAGACCACATCAGTTCAGGTCTGTATCTCAACTCCATGAGCTCTGTCTTCACAGAACTGCACCACAAAGTGCAATAGACCTAAAAGTACACAGCTCTGGAATGATATAAAAACTGAGTAAAGAACATAAACCTGAGAAGGTGATTTGGGAGAAAGGCAGACACCATAAAACAGAATACTACATTATTTTCCTTTTTTTTTTCTCTATTTTGCTCTTTTTTTCTCCTCTCCTTAAAAGTATCTTCTGTCAGAGCAAGCGCCAGGCAGCTTCCCACAATGTCAGTTCCATGCTGAAGGTTTTTATAAACCCCAACTGTAACACCTTTTGCTGCTAAATGATTTCTACTGTCCCTCTACAAAAATAATAGTGGAACTTTAAAGGGAAGTAAGAGCTACAATCATACAACCTACAATATATACTGTTAGGTTTTTTTTAAGAAGTTTTATGGTTGATTTTTTTCCTTTTTATCAGACAACTGTTTTGGAGAGAGGTCAATAATGCATCCAGTAGGTCTCTTCATTTGCAAATCACAATTAGTGAACTAGGAGATAAAATTACAGGAAGACTTCAGATGTGTACATTACTGCAGTGTACTTTACCTAACGCGTAAGCACAGAAGGTGGTAAAAGCACTGAACAGCCATACCCAGCTTGGAACAAGCCCAGGACTGGAACCTGAAATAAATTGGACACAGAGTCAATACGATAGCAGCTAAAAGAAATCCACCACAATAAGTACATGCATATGAACAAACTGCCACAAATTAGCCTAATATGTAAAACAGAACTAAGGATAACATTTCATCTTTGGCTTTCAATCAACTTTGCTCATGAGTGAGCTCTACCTTTCAAGGAAACAATGACCAGACCTGAATATGCTCATAGGGTAAAGAGAAGAAAAGGTGGAGCTTTTTGGCGCTGAAATGATTAGAATACTGCACAAAATAATGACAATAACCAGGCAAAATTTTTCATTCTCTATGGGAAGACTAGTCGTCAAAAAAATATTTAATGCTTACATAATATTCTAACTGTATTAAAGACTGTAGTTTTCAAGCAGTATCATTTTTTATTAACACCAATGTGAGTTCTGTACTGAAGCTTTTCCATATAGAGCAGAACAGGAACATTTTGCTCTTAGGATAAGAGGGATAGAGTATCCTTTTTTTTTTCCCTTTGGATAAGGTGCTTGGTATTTTTGTAATGAACCTGGAAGAGAAAGCTGACCTGGACAGAACACAAAGTTCAGTTCTTGTCCTACGAGTAACAATAACCAAAGACTATTGCTGCATCCTTAGAGAAAGCCGTCCTTTCTCCAAAGAGCATCCGATTTAATGTAAACATAATCCAATAAGGAATAGACCGGCAGTGACCCAAGGCAGATGGGAAGCCCTGTGAAGTTTCTGGCACCCTGTGCAGGCCCAAAGGGCACCCTGGCACGCAGAGGTGCACGATGTTGAACTGGGGGATCCAAGCGGCGTTCCCGGAGACGTTTCACTCCTGTTGCCGTTCCGAAAGCAAAGATGCCGCTTCCTGATTCTTTGCTGCAAATTTGCAAACTGTAGAATGGAAAACAGCTGTCCAGGAAATTACAGCTTTTATTTCTGATCCTGTGCGTGGAATTGAAACGTGATACTCAAAGGACTAGTTAGGCTGCAGGAACATTTTCAGTCAATCGAGAAATGATGGATACTGCTTTCATGCAAAATGAAGAATAGGCTTGCAAACTACACAGAAAAGTTTAAACTCTAACAAAACTTTATATCACTCTTTCGGGTATCTTCAAACTCAATATGAATCTACTGGGAATGCATCATGCAGTAAAATCATCCAGTGAAAAAGCCTGTACTGGTTGCTCTTTCATTACAGAATTTAGTAAATACCAACTCTATTGATCAAAATCCAAGTGCATAAAGATGAAGTTAGATATTTCTCTAACATACGGGCCCTTGAAAAATTTAATACCCTTACAGGACTATTTTTTAAGCAAAACTACTAAGAAGTATGTCTGCTTCTAGAACTTCCTTAATAACTCTACCAACAGTTCCCACCAAGAAGTATCTCCCACCTAATTACAGGTCTAATATATTAAAAGGTACAAAATAATCAAATATAATTGCTTAAGGAAATAAAATGTTGAGTCTTTTCCAAATTGCCTAGTTTAAAGAAAAGAAAGGATTGTACATACTAATCACATGGCAGACACTGGCATTTTGGGGTTTTTTTCAACACCTGGTCTAAGGATTCCAGGTCTGAATATTCCCTGTGTTCAGGAACAGTCAATTCCAAAAATCTTTTGACTTGTTCTAGCATCATGAGAAAATACGGGTTTGGACTTTGAAAGATAAAATTTCAAGGAATATTTGTTTAGGAAGTATTTCTTCTGTCTGGAAGCAGTCTTGGCTTAGAGAACAGCAAACTTTTTTTATGGAGTAACGAAAGGAAAATTAATGTATTCAGGCATGGATATAGGTATCAAGAAATGTAAGACCAATGAAAATTTGATGAAGAATAGTAGGGTATTTTTGTTTCTTCTCAGTTACCTTATTTAAGAAATGACTGCATATTAGAATACTGGTATGCCCTCCAAATCAAATGAGACATTATCATAGACTTTGAACACCAGGCACTGAAACCCATTTATAGGGATGAAACTAAGTAAGATTTTCCAATAAAATGGCCTAAATATTTAATGCTGTGTGTGAGGGCAGATTCTCCCACATGCTCATGGAGACTCAGTAAGGGAAAGGGAAGATTCAGGTATCTGATACCTCCCAGTGTCATTCAGGCCCATCACAGAAGCAGTTCTGTAATTCTGAAAAATTACAACATGGGGATATTTACCTGAGGCAGTGTAGTCCCAATCGTAAAAAGAGAGTAGAAAATAATTAACTAAAATCATCACAAATCCAGAGAATGTTAACACGTTGGGAGCAATCCACAAAGGCACTATCTGTTAAAAAAAAAAAAACTATGAAAAATTATATTTCCAATTAAAAGACCTACTTGAATTAAATATTTATATTTTTACCAGGAAAGGAGAAACCTGTATATGACATCCATAATCTTCAGATTTATGTATCCACTTTCATTTTAATTAAAAAAAATACTGTTTTCCTTTCTGAAACAACTTATTTTTAAATGTCATTTATCTGCCTGGATCTGTGACTGCAGTAAAAATGTAATTTAGAAACACCATATTTCCTACGTTCTACACGCTCCTCCTTTTCCCAGACACCAAGGAAGGTTTCTCAGGGTTTGGAATAGCCCAGCTGAGAGGACTGCAGCACCCCGGTGTGGCAATTCTGCAGCTGCATGGCAGGTTTTTAAAGCACTCTATTCCCATACTCTACTAAATTAGGTTAACACCTCAGCTCAAAGTGTGCACAAGGGTCAGGCACTGAGTGCATTGCTCGGGATACTCTAAAGAACCCCCTGCTGCAAACAGCTCCCTGCTCCTCCAGATATTAACTTTCTGCACAGCCTCCCCCTTTAGCCATAAATTATAAATACTGCATTCATTGATTTTATTTTGCAGCGTGTGGAAAAGAACCGCCTGTCTTCACCTGAGCCTCTAATGCTTCTTTTCTATTAACCATTCTCAGCTACTAGTCCCCTGTGGCTTTATTCTTTACAGTAAAAGAGGGATTTTTTTTTTGGTAAAGCTGTTGCCAAGCCAGACGGTTTCTCCAAACTAGTTTCTGAGATAGTATACACAGATTTTTACATAATTTCTGGCCAGAGCATACTTGCAGAAACACAGTCTAAATGCAGACCACTGCTGTCACTCCAACAGGACCAACATATTCAAAATATTTAAAAATTATACTCAACTGGAATGACAAAGGACTGAAAATGCACAAAAAGAAGTACTTCAACACCATAAAATATTTCCAAGAATTACCCTTCCTTTATCAGATTGTTGTGTCAAAAATCTGCATATAAAATTGGAATGTCTAACATTAATGATCTGATTAGATCCTCTTCCTGCTATTACAGTGCAGACAATCAATAATATTGAGAGGAAATTGCATGACTGATAATGTTCAATGTACACTTTCAACAGCAAGGAAATTCCGGAATAATTTTCAGTTATATTTCTTAGATGTTTCTTCTAATAACATTGGAAAAATTATCACATCTGATAGCTGCTTTCCTTAGGATTTTATCAACAGTTTTAAATTCTCTATGGCAGATCTTAAAATAATAGACACATAAATTGAAATACCTATAGCTACAGTAATAAAAATATATTACACACATTTTAATATATCTATTATTATGAGTTTTAAAAATCCCAAACCTAAATTGCAAAGAACAAGTGACAGCAAGTATTGCTTGAAGTTCCTTTAGGGGAATATATAAGAGCAACTCCTCGGTGCCCATCCCCATCTGATTAAACTCCCTGCACACTCAGTATGCAGTGACAGCATCACATCTGATTTTGGTACCCGGGGATGCAGAAACTGAGTAAGTTGGAGGCTTGTCATGAGCCAGTTTGCCACATGGCTCTGACCTGACACCTAAGAATGACTGATACCAATGAAGACACTCTGGATTGGTGTCTTGTCCTCTAAAAACAAGCTCAAAATAGACACCCTGTGGATGCACCATTGAGGTGGACATATAGATGCTCTGCAGTGTACTGTTAGAAACAACTGATTTCTCCTGCATGTTTTGTAATAAAAAAATGAAGTGGCCCTGTAAATGCCTGCTTTCTGCTTAGGTTTATTATCTGGAATAGGCATAATGACATTATTAATGTTATTACAGGAAATAATTTATGTTTACACAGCACAAATGTTAAGGAATTATTTCAACACACCTTCTAGCATCATGTATTTTATAAGAAAACCATGAAAGCTTGTTGCTACACTCGCAGCCTTTGGCTGTGGCCATACAGTGAACAGATACAAGAGATCTGTCCTCAAACCACATCAACCATCAACCATCAACCCCTGTGCACACTGTTTTGATCCTTACCTGGCCTAAGCTGTCAATGTATTTTGAAACTATTCCATCTGGCAAAATCCCTTTTGTTGTGTTTAATGCCCTTGATTCCGTTGGTCAGCCCACACTACCATCACCCTTCCTAACACCCCAAAAAGCAGCCTGGCTTCCTAGTGCCCTGCGTGAGGATCCTGCACTGCTCTCTAATAACAGACTATCCAAGACCAAGACATTAACAGAGGAGCTGACACAACTCACACTTCCATTAGGAAGAATTACACCTCTTCGCTCGCAAAACGATTGCACATTGGGATATTTAACAAGACTTGGAGTTCCACAAGCTGCTCACTAATTTCTGTTTTAACAGGTGAGTCATTTGTGCTAAAACCCTTAAGACAAACGACGAACATTTAACTCAATTGCAGGTTTAGGTAATAAACTGTAAAGTACACCTACTTATTTGAGGCCCTATTCAAACTGGAAACATTGCTTGACTAATTCACTTGAGACCACTAAAAATCTACTTACTCTAATGATAAAATCAATGTTCATAAGAGTAACTATGTGTATGCAGGGGGTAATAGACTTCAGTGGAGCTGGTGTACACCTGCGTCCCCTACTGCCATTTGCTCCTTTGCTGCTTGTTGTCCTGCACAAACATGATTTCTTCTTGTAAAAATAAGATTTGATCACATCAAATGATATGATAGCACTATTCTGTTTACATTTCAGGGGGAAAAATGGGTTTTCTCTGGCAAGCAAGCAAGTAGATTTTATTTTTTGATTGAGTTAATGTCACATCTTTTTAAAGGACTTATCCAGGAACACAGCCATTCTAGTAAATTCAGTTCTAGTAATGTTTGTCACTGATTTGAGTCTTGGGCAGCAAGTTTGGTGCTCCATCAGTTCTCATTTTTAGCCCTGAGCTCTACCACAATCCCTACTGCAAAGTGATCTCCGCAGTGTAACTGTGCGTTCCCAGGTCCTCCACAGGTCTCCCATTTTATAAAATAAAACAAAACAAAACATAACTCACTGCTAAGTTTACCTGGCAGTATCTCTTTAATGTTAGAATGATTATTTATACAAAAGATTACAGCATTCTAAATATTTCCTTTTTAATTTTTTATGATGCTGTATTGAGTACTATCCTGTAGCTTTCCTACATCAGAAGGAAAAGTCAAAAATTGCTTGCTGTCTTCAGCATTCAAACTGAGCAAAATGCCAAAGTAAACCTGGTGCCCACTGCAGGTCTGGGTTATACACTCAGATTTTCCAGTTTTTGAAAGTGGGTCTCAGTCCACTGTTCTGGTTTGGTTTCCCCTTTAGCAGGAAGTGAACAAATGATGTTTGGGTAAAACTGAAGGAGCTTTAAAAAGTGGTTTTTATAGAATCTGTGATCCACTTGTTATGTTACTCGGGGACTGGCAGCAGAACATTGCAACTGCTAGAGAAATTTACCCCAAAATGAAGTTGTGCATCGATAACACTACTACTACACGGGTCTCCAATACCCGTGGATCCCCATCGTTCACTCACGACGAGCGTGCAGTAAAGGCAGAGGGAACACGTGGCCAAGGCTCCGCTCCTCTCCGTGTGGATTCCGGAGCGGCGGGAGGCTTTACTGCCTCGTCGCTTCCCTCCCTGCTGCGGTTCCATTTTATGCATATAGGTTCATATCCAAGTCTGTTCCAATCCAGAGATTTCCATTTAAGAAAGAGAGAACAAGCTGCACTTGGTGAATTCTTCAGTGTCGATAAAGCGGTTTAAGGAAAGTTCTAACAGAAACTGATGCTTTTTGCACAGCGATCAGGAAAAAAAAAATCCTTGTTTTTTATAATAACTCAAAATGCTAACATATTGATCTTAAATATAGCAATATATCCTGTATTTTTATGCAGATATTTTAATTTTGCCTTTGTAGGACAATAACTATTTTTAAATGGAATCTCTCTCTTGCATCTCAAAACAAATTCTTACATTATAATTCCACATTTCTACAAAATAAGACTCTTACCTTAATAATTTTGTCCCAGAGGGGCTGCATAACATACACAGATAGAGGGTTTGTATCCACAGCACTGTACTGTGAGGAAAGAAGCAAACATGTTAGAGCGCTGAGGAATGAATCTTTTCCCACCACTGTAAATCCTTCAGCATCTAAAAGCAATCATTCTGAATGTGGCAGGAACAAATTTATTTCATTTGGATAACCACTCATACAGCTTTAATTTAATTAAAAAGCAGTGACCCGGTTTACAGCATTGTTAGCAAACTACATTGAAACACAAAGATCTAGGCTGATGCAGTGGTGAGCAGTTCTGGAAACACATTGCCCTAAAAATTCTTACTCATTTTACAAGATCTGTGATAAAAGTCTGCCCCTTACTGCATTTTTGGTTTAATTCTCTTTATTTGCACCACTGGCAATGCAGTCTCAGCAGCTGCTCCTTGCCCGTATGTAGGATCCCTAATGCAGGTGGTCCGTGGTCACAAGCGGGACGTCACCTCACAGAGATTTGTGGGGTTTGACACACAAGTGTCACATTTGTGCTACGCTAATTGCTGCAAAGTGATGTCACTGCAAAAATAAGCTCTAGCAGAGGCTATAGTTAATTGCCAAAATCGGGGTTCCCTCCTAGACAGATCTGTAAAAACGTGGTCTTATAAATTCCAATAAACACGTATCTGCACCTTTTCCAAGTGCACAGAAGAGAGAGTTTAACCGGTACCATGTTCAGCTGCAGTCCTGAGCGTGGGCAGGTCCTGCACGGTAGAAGTCAGTATTCGTTTGGGTGGGACGTGCTATTTGTACAGAATTTCTTGGAGTTACAAAGTATGTACATGGCATAGCTTGTTAGCATGGGGTAAATGACCCACATGTATCTTTATACAGTTCTGTCCAAACATACCCGTGTGGACAACACGGGTAGTAACACATGGATTACACAGATCACAACTTCTTGAAGGTGATCGTGAGCAGAAGAGTTGGCAATAGAGTGGAATTCATTCTACCTAACTTCAACAAGTAATGGTTCTCTCCCCATAGTGATGCTCGCTATAGGTAACTTATCTCACCTCTTTGCCAACGAGGCCTTTGCGTGAGATTGCACTCCAGAAATACCTGTTCCTCTACATTAGCTATCAAAGCGGCCCAGATATGTATCTTAAACTTAAGCACACTTAGATAGCTGATATGAGGGACTTCAGCTGGCAAGTACAAGCAGGAGAGAAGATCAGCACAGCATGTCTCAGTCTGCAACACACAATCTATGACTTTTGCTCTAATCTTTTCAACCTACTGAGGACAGCAGGCTACAGGCTGCTCAAGATCTGTTTTCTATGTGCATACAAAGAAGAAACTGCAAGTAGTTTCTGGAGAAAACACCACATTTGCTTAGTTATTTTAAAACCTGGGGTTAAGTTCTGATCGCAGGTAATAACTGTAGCATGCTTATAAAATTATTTGGACATATTTTGCATGTTATATGTTATGCACTTGCAAATATCTAAGGAGTCGCCTAGGAGCTACTGGGCAGAAAGAGTAGATTAACTTTCTGCAGGGAATAAAATGTATGATTTAGTGAAGCATACATCACTGATATGTTCTCTATAAATATTCAAAGCATCACTTTAGGGTATCACTTTTCTCTGCTTCTGTCACTGCTGTTATTTGAAACATGAGGCGATTAAATGATCAGAAACTTTTCTGCCAGAATATATACAAAAATTATTATTAAATATGTTATATCATGGGAAAAAAGGATTTTGCAAGTAAAAAACGTAAGACAAAGTGTTTTTTTTACTTTAAGGTTTCCAAAGGCAAGCACCTAAGACAAAGTGTTTTGTTTACTTTAAGGTTTCCAAAGGCAAGCACCAAAAAGCAAAATGCTCCTTATGTGTTGCTAAAAAAAAGAAGAACAAAAAAGTATTGATTACAGACAGGTTCTACAGTGTCACCTAATGACATTTCAAGACCGCTCACGCTGAACCCAGTTCATTCCTATGTCTATGGTCTTCTGCACGGGAATGGAATACTGAGTAGGACTGAAGAAGCATGGAAATCAGCTTTTTCCACTCCAGCAATCGGCGTGTCTCAAAGTGCCTTAAATAACGTGGAGGCTGCATGACAGCCCATCGCTGTGTTATTTCCAAAGCGTGAAAGTGAGGGTTGTGTTGTGTCTGTCCAAAGGCCCAAAAGCCCCCATTGTCACAGCACTGAATGATGATGAAGGCCAAAAATGGCCCAAAATGCCTTCTGGGACCAGTCTCCAGAGTGGACCGTGTCCAAAGCGGTGCCTGGTTGTTGTCTTGGCGGGAGCTTCTTGAAAGGGAGAGAGACCAGGGAGGGAACTAACCCCCTGGCTAAGGCCGGGTCTAGCCCCCCGGTTCCTGCCTGGCCTTCTCCAACATCGCACTGTGGAGGGAGCTCTGGAATGAACCTCTGGGGTGACTACAAGACAGGGAAGAATATAAAGTGTGTCCACACAAACTTCAGGACAGGAAAGGATTCCTGGGGTAGCCCTGAAGCACTGCTGTTGCACTAACTACTGGGAGAGAGTTACTTGAACTGAAGCTGATCATTACTGCAACAGGGAGGTTCTTTTCTTAAATTCCCTGCAGCACAGCACTGTGCCATACAGTCGTGTCCATGCAGAAGAAAAGCTCTGTGGCTTTTTTTACATTTGAATCATTACTATCAAAATGAGTGCATGGGTTTTAATTTCATGTTAGTAATGACAAATCTTCAAGAACTGACAATTACACGAGGACTTACATGAAGAATAAAAATATTGAGTTGTTTGCGCTCTTACCACAGGCCCAAGTATGAAAAGGATAAGGCACTTCAGATTTATTGTAGCCCACAGGCCCAAGTATGAAATGGATAAGGTACTTCAGATTTATTGTCCAAGTATGAAGAGGATAAGGCACTTCAGATTTATTGTAGGGGAAGCACCTGAATGAGAGTTGCTGAAATGCAGTAATTTCCCTGCCAACCTTATTGCACATAAATTACATTGTTCCTCCCAATCTAAACCTGCTTTAAAGTGCTACAAAATTAAAGCCAAACCAGTAGTTTTGAGTGAGCTCTGCATTTGCACAGTCATTTAAATCTGTTTAACATATATGAAGGGGGGAATCATTTTATCCTCCTTCTAGCTTAACTTTTCACAAAAACAATAGAAGACAATTTAAAACAGGAGAAAATCATTCCATCAACTTCAAAATAGGCCAAATCATATAAGACGGTGCTCTTTGAGTAAGTGATCTGTTGAAAATAAGAACCCTAGAGCAGCAGTTTTCAACCATATTTGCTCATGGGACCTTGGAGCCTATTCAAGGAAACAGGCAAGGAAAAGGGCAAACTTATTGTCATCCAGCCTATACTTACAAACAGTGATCTGCACCTCAAATTAAAATTTTGAGACATCTGTCAATAGAAAAACTTTGAGAAACCACTTTTCAACAATGCGTCTTTAAAGAAACATTTACGCAATTGGTTACATTTTACTGTCTACCATTTGTGATCCAGCTGCTCTCATACTCTATTCGGTTTAAAACTCTACCGCATGTGAAAAAAAAATGGGAGGGAATAAAATAAAAGACACTTGATAGAGGCAGTAAGTGAGCTTTACCGTCCTTACTGCTCATGCAATGCAAAGTGTGCTGGTCTCACTATCAAGAATCTTCGCTTTTACAAGAGATTAATTCTTGGTGGTTGTGGAGGTTACAAAACAACTCTTCTAGTGCAGGGCATGAATCGGGCATTATTTAAGAGAACTCAGTAAAATCTATCCCTTCTGGGCAAGGTATTTCCCAGTTATGCAACAGGAGCTTTCCTTCTTTAGTATTTCAGACTTCTGGAATGACCCCCAAATTAAAGAAAATACTGAAATACTGAAACAGAATCCCAGAATCCCAGAATGGTTGATGTTGGAAGGGCCCTCTAGAGATCACCCAGTCCAGCCCCTGCTCCAGCAGGGACACCCAGAGCAGGGGCACAGGGTCCATCCAGGCGGGTATGGAGATCTCCAGAGCAGGAGCCTCCACAGCCTCTCTGGGCAGCCTGTGCCAGGGCTCTGGCACCCTCACACCAAAGAAGTTCTTCCTCACATGGACATGGAGCTGCCTGGGGTTCAGCTTGTGCCCGTTACCCCTTGTCCTGTCCCCGGCCACCATGGAGAAGAGCCTGGCCCCATCCTCCCTACACTCTCCCCTCAGGTACTTGCACATGTTGCTCAGGTCCCTCTCGGCCTTCTCTTCTCCAGGCTGACCAGGCCCAGCTCACTTAGTCTTTCCTTATAAGATAGATGCTCCAGTCCCTTCATCATCTTTGTTGCTATTCAACACCTGACAAGAATCTAATCAAGAATCAAACTACACTGGCAAGAACCCTCCATCATTTCCTAGCATATACTAAACACACTTTTTAATTCTATTTTATATATCTTTTACAGGTCTGTAGACGTTATGGGACATGTCCTTGGATTTTAACAAACGTTTACAAGAACAATGAGCTATAAACTCCGCAAACGCCAAACAAATTAAAAAACACTTAGCAGTTTAAAAGTGATGACACATTCCAGAACACAAGCCTGATAATACTAATACTGGCATTACTTTATATGATATTTTCACTTAATTAAATTTTCATAAGTAATAAACTTATATCTCCTGTTGCTTAGTTAGTTTGGACTACCCTGCCTTTTCCCCCCTTACCAATTCTGGTTGATATTGCTCAGTTTTTAGGAAGCTGTTCTTATGAAAACTGCTATGTGGTGGCTGCCCCTGTGGATATACACTCATCCTTCAGACTTCCCGATTTTCACAACGCCTGGCACCTGCGCAGGACCATGTGCCACCTCCTGTCACTTAGTGGGGGTATCTACACACCGATGCCCACGAGCTCCTGGGGCATGCGGTGCGGTAGGGTTGGCAAAGGTGCTCTTAGGAGTGAAGTGCAGTAGTGGCAACCACAGCTCGCCCGCAGTGCCACTGCTGCAAGATGACAGGATCACCGGACAGGACCACAGGAGAAATCTTTCAGGCCAGAAGGGACCTCGGGAGGTCCAACCTCCTTCTCTAAACATGTAC